AGAAACTATCTGTTCTGTAAGCCTTCACCTGAAGTACAATAAAATATTTAAAAAAAAAAAAAGGAAACCAGAATTATCAGGTATAATATCTTCCTAGACTGGCTAGAAATGTCTTCTCTTAGGTCCTTAGAGCAGGGGGAAGCAATGAGAAACTCTGACTTCTGTACCTTGAGCATTATTGTGGGTAAAATCAAGAATAAGAACATTTGAGATAAGACTTGCCACCACTGACCTAAGGCAGAAAATGTGATTAGAGATACTCTAATCTACCAGTCTTGTCTCCAAGGACGAGTGGATGAGCCTTTGTGGAGAAGGGGAGGATGTCTATCTCACTTGTCAGCTATGCTTTGTTGCAGGAGGGAAAACAGGTCAAAGATCTTGGCGTCTGGGCAGAAATTTTAGGTTCTTAGGTTCAAAGAATGTTTATTTTTAACTGCTGGAATTAGATTCAAAGGAAACATTTGATCAGACTCATATCCTTTTACATCGAAAGAGTATGGAACATTCCATAATTAGAAGCACTTTAACATCTATGGGCAGGAAAGGTGGATAACCATTTTGATAAACCACTCTGGCAGCCCTTTTCTCCCTCTAAAGTACAGAAGCTTCGTGAAGAGACCACGTGTTCCTGCTCAACCCTAGCCCCTCCCAGCATCTAGCAGGCTGGCAGGCATATAGCAGGTACTCCACACATACTAGTGAATGAGGCACTCTAGGAGGCCAGCTGACATACTTACGTCTCATCAAATATGGGCTCCAGGGTCTTCCGCTTCACTGAGGTCTTCTTACGACTTGCCCACCTCCTTTCTGGCAACAAGTACACACGGACGTAGGGATCAGCTCCACTGCTGGTATAGGGTGTCAGGTTTCTGATTTGGTTTCAAAGGCAGAGAAAAAAGGCCCCTGGTTTTGAGACACTATGAAAATACTCATTTGGGAGAAAGCTATACTAGCCATTCGGCTTTAGATGGGCCTGAGGATAAAATGTCCTGTAGTCTAGATTACCTGCTATGGACTGAAGTGTGTCCCCCAAAAATGTGTGTCAACTTGGCTACGCAGTGATTCCCAGTATTGTGTGATTGTCCACCATTTTGCCATCTGATGTGATTTTCCTATGTGTTGGAAATCCTACTTCTGTGATGTTAATGGGAAAGCCTGGTGTCATAGTGGTTAAGAGCTATGGCTGCTAACCAAAAGGTCAGCAGTTCGAATCCACCAGGCGCTGCTTGGAAACCCTATAGGGCAGTTCTGTTCTGTCCAGTAGGGCCGTTATGAGTCTGAATCGACTCACTGGGTTTCGTTTAGTTTTGGTTTTATGATATTAATGAGGCAGGATTAGAGGCAGTTATGTTAATGAGGCAAGACTCAATCTACAAGATTAGGTTAGTACATTGAGTCAATCTCTTTTGAGATATAAAAGAGAAGGACGAGCAGAGAGACCGGGAGACCTCATGCTACCAAGAATGAAGAACAAGGAGGGGAGCACATCCTTTGAACCCGGGGTCCTTACACTGAGAAGCTCCTAGACCAAGGGAAGATTGATGACAAGGACCTTCTCCCAGATAAAAAGAGAGAGAGAAAGCCTTCCCTTGGAGCTGGTGCCCTGAATTCAGACTTGTAGCCTCCTACACTGTGAGAAAATAAATTTCTTTGTTAAAGCCATCCACTTGTAGTATTTCTGTTATAGCAGCACTAGATAACTAAGACATGACAAAAAAATAAGTAAAAGTCTGCAGGATTTAGAGGACAACACATCAGATTCATGGTTTTGAAAACATGCGTTTTTGTAAAGTATAAGGTAGAGCAAGTACTTCCATCCAGGGATGACGTACTTGGAAAGATGTACGGACTACCAGCAGACAGTTTTGCAATGGTTGTGTCTAAGCGGAGCCCCTGGCTCTTGAGCCCACCAGCACCAGTGAAGAACGACCACCAAAGTGTTCCTCTGAGGGCTTTGTCCCTCCTACATGCAGGTCTTCAAATTCCATTTCTCCCAGTGTGTGACTTATCTACCTGTGGGAGCTGCATGCCCTTGCCCTTGATCCAAGAACTCCTGCTCTGATTTCTCATCACCTGTTGCTCCCGAAAGCCCTTCCTGGCCCCAAAATCCCTTTACCTGCAACCATTGATTAGCACACTGAGGCAGCGCCGCAGACACACGTAGCGCACTGTGAGACGAATCTCACCCAGTTGCTGTTGCCTCAGATTCCCGCCTCTGTAAGGAAAGGGTTGGTCACTTCTCTTGTCATTACAAGTGTTGGTCGTCTTCTCCTCCCTCCCCCACCCCACCACTAGAGAGAGAAACATGTCCTACTTTCAGAACATAGAACCATGTGGGTTAATAATTTCAGTAAGATTCCTTCTAGTAGGAAGTCCATTTCACCAGCATTCATGTGTCATCTCCTTGGCTGAAAGTAGACTAGACAAGCCTTTTAGGATCCTAGGGTCCAAATGAAGATATAAAATATCCTAGAGAATTTTTGTTAACTTTCTTAGGTGTGATAATGTAGGATATATCATTTTTAAGACAGTAGAGGGTAAAGTATCATAGTATCTATAACTTACTTCGAAATGGTTCAGCAAAAATATGTGTGTGTGTTTATACACATTAATATTTATAATGCAAGGAGCCCTGGTGGCACAGTGGTTAAGCACTTGGCTGCTAACAGAAAGGTCGGGAGTTCAAACACACGAGCTGCTCCGTGGGAGAAAGATGTGACAGCCTGCTTCTGTAAAGATTACAGCCTTGGAAACACTATGGGACAGTTCTACTCTGTCCTACAGGGTCACTGTCAGTCAGAATCGACCCAGTGGCAGCAGGTTTTTGTTTTTGTTTTTATTATAATGCAGATAGGTCAGTGTAAACAATTGTTGAATCTGGGTAGACCGAATATGTATGTTAATTGTACTAATCTTTCAACACTCAGTGTTTGAATATTTTCATAATGAAAGATTAGACAAAATAAAGCCCTAGAAATCATAAGCTAATCAGTAGAAAATACTTGTTCAACTTCGAAAGAACACAAGTTACATAAAGTTTAAAATGGCTTAAAATGCACATTCTGTTGGAGAAATGGACTTGAAGGGGTTTGGTCAGATTTCAGGAATCTAGTTCTGGTCTTCTATTAATGACTGAATTCCTCTGTTTCTATTATCTGAGCTGATCATAAAATTGAGAGAATTCTGGATATCCACCAATTTAATTAGTTCTTGAATATTATGATCACACTGTGTGAAGCAAAATGCATTCGACAGATGTGGGTCTCCAAGCACAGCTGGCTGGATTCAGGAAGAGTTTTGTGTTCTGGTGAGTGTGTTGGTCCCCTTTCCTAGGCTGATAGGAATGTAATTCAAATTAGGAAGAGCAGAACCCTGGTGTGGGATCTGCCTTTATATCATGACTCCTGGTGGGACCTTGGGTGAGTTATTCAACCTTTATGATAGTAAGTTTTATCTCATCCAGTTAATGTGAAGATTGAATTAGGTAACACACTGAACCCATAGTAAACACAATAAATGGCAGCCATTAATAACATAATTCCACATTCTAAGGTTTCCATGTCATCCCAGTATAACTTTAGAATTCAGGAAATATTTTTGCTGGGAGGAACCTTAAAGACGAATGCCCAGCATCTATTTTACAGCAAATCTATAGCTAGAGCTATAACTAGACTCTCCTTCTCTCTCTGTTCCTGTGATTTTTCTACCACATCGTGCTGCCTCCTTATATATTTTGTGAAAAACCAGAACTTGCACATAAGTGTGAGCCCATATCTAATTTTGCAGCCAGGGAGGAATTTTTCATGCAGGTAGTTTTAGAAAAGATTAAACAGAAAGATGCATACTCAGTGTTGAGGCTGATATCTGTCAGGTCAAAGCAGGAGGAGGCCAGGGAGTTGAGTGAGGACATGCTGGGAGCCAGCCCCGTGGGCAGGCATGCAAACGGGGAGGCAGGGCATTTCATGGGTCTAGGTGACTTCATGGGCCCTGGAGAGTGGGGGCCTGGGACAGTCAGGAAGATGGTAGCTGAACTCTTCTTCTCTCTCATGGGCTCACAGAACCCTTTGGCACTGTCCTTGCCTTTGGGCTTTGGGCCTGTCTCTTGGGGTGTGGGCTCGGTGACAGCAGTGGTGGCACTGGTGGTGGTTGTGGTGCTCTCAGAGGTCCCCTTGGTGTCAGAAGCAGGATCTGGGGAACATGGCATATCTTCAGTGCCCTCTCCCTGGGGTAGGGCTTTGGCGTCGTGGTTGGTGGCCACCTTCTTGATAAACAGAGGGCCTTTCTTTAGGGCTTCTGGTCCTGTGTATGGGCTCCCCAGCTCTCGTTCCTCCACGTGCAGGAACTGCAAGCAGACAACAGGGTTGCTTATGGGCAGGACCCACCACTTCCTCTTCCTCCCCTTCTATTCTCACCTAAACCTCTGGGAGATGGTTCCTTCTCCTCTTTCCTAGAACAGTTTTCTCAAAAATCAATGCCCAATTCAATGGCTTTTTCAGAGACTGTATCCTCCTTGACCTCTCTCTGTCCCCTGACCACCCTCTGACCAATGCTTCTCTGTCTTTTCCCTTCCTCCTGCCTCACTAGTGGGTGTTTATCAAGACTCAGTCCTGGACCCCCTTCTCTCTTTATACCCCTACTTGCTGCTCTATACCTCATCCATTCTCACAGTATACACTTTACTCCTGTGTGGAGGACTCCCAGATCTACCGTCCTGCACTCACCCTAAGCTGGACATGTATCACCAGCTGCCTTCTGGATATGGTTGTTTCTATTGTCACCTCATTCACTAATTTTTCCCCTAAAATGTGTTTCTTATTCAGACCCACTCCTGTGCTCTTAGCCCTAAATTTCAAACCTCAGCCATTGGTTTTTCCCCCATCCTCTTTTCCCCTCAGTTATCAATTATCAAGACCCATCCTAGAGACTTCATTTCCTACAGTATGGCAGTCAAAATGTTCTGAAAAACCTCTTGTTAGGAATGCCAAATAAAATGAAACAAACATCCTTTAAAATGGATAGCCAAATTCACAAGAAAGTAAGGAAAATCTATGGTTAAAAGAGAGGAAAAAAAAACAAAAATAAGGATTAAAGGTTAAGCTTTCCTGGGGTCATTTACCAATTTTGGTATCCAAGGGGTTAGGGTTTTAAGGATCTTGCAGAGACAACAGACAAGTGTTTGGACTCATGTGAGGCTGGGAGTTGCAAGTGAGATCCATGAAGATTGGTTATATCCTTAGTGAAAAAGGAGTATAGAAATAAAAATTCCATCCACCAGCAAAGATCGATGACAAGATGTGCCTGTCATAGCCTGTCCATAAAAATGGATCCAGGTTTGTCATGCCCTTGGTATGCTTGGCTGAAGCAAAAGCAGAACCATATTGGAAGAGAGCAACCTCAATCCAGGTCATAAAGGAACACAAATTACAAAACATAAATGAGCCACCATGAACAACAGATCCAACAAACATCAAAATTCAATGTCCAAGATCTTCAGATAATAGAATTAACAAGCATATACATTATAAAATAAATATTTTCAAATGATTAAAGATGGGGTAGAAACATGAGACGATAACAAAATGCTATGGACAAAAGACAAGATGAATTTGGAAAAGAGAAAATTAGAAATGAAAAAATGGTCATCAGTTGAATTGTGTCCCCAAAAAATACGTGTTGTAAATCCTAACCCCTATACCTGTGGATGTAATCCCATTTCGGAATTGGTTTTCTTTGTTATGTTAACCAGACAGTATTAGTGTAGGGTGTGTCTTAAATCTATCTCTTTTGAGGTATAAAAGAGCAGATTAAGCAAGGAAGCAAGCAAGCAGAGATGGGGGAAGAGAGATGCCCCACCACGTGAAGATTGCCAAGGAACTGAGGAACAGAAGCTGAAAAGAGACAAGGACCTTCCCCCAAAGCCAACAGAGAAAGCCTTCCCCTAAAGCTGGTGCCCAGTATTTGGATTTCTAGCCCCTGAACTGTAAGAAGCCCTGGTGGCACAGTGGTTAATTGTTTGGCTGCTGACCAAAAGGTCAACAGTTCGAATCCACCAGCTGCTCCTTGGAAACCCTATGGGGCAGTTCTATTCTGTTCTGTAGGGTCGTGATGAGTCAGAATCGACTCAATGGCAATGGGTTGATGGGTTAAACTGTGAGAATATAAATTTCTTTTTTTGTTAAAGCCAAAAGAAAAATGTCATCAAAATTAAAAACCACAAACAGATTAAACAGATTAACCCAAAACCAAAAACCAAACCTGATTCTGACTCATAGCTACCCTATAGGACAGACTAGAACTGCCCCATAGTGTTTCCAAGGAGCAGCTGGTGGATTCGAACTGCTGACCTTTTGGTTAGCAGCCGAACGCTTAACCAGTATTGCCACCAGGGCTAAATAGATTAGACATAGCCAAATAATTAGTGATTTGGAAGATAGATGCTGAGGAAGTTAGCCAGAATGTAGCACCAAGAGATAAAGAGATGGGAAATATGAAGCTCCGTTCAAGAGACATGGAGGATAGGATGAGATAGTCCAGCATAGCACAGAAAGATCTAGAAGGGGATTAAAAGGATGAGAGAAAGGCTATACTCGAAGAGATAATGGCTGACAATTTTCCAAAATTGATAAAATCAAACAAAACAAAACAATCCATTTCCTGGCTTCTTCTGGCCAGGAGTAAACGTGAATCCATTTCCTGACGTTTTCTGGCCATAAGTTCTCTGGAGACAGAGTCCACCTTGCTTCACGACCAGAGCTCCACATCCCTCCCTCTCTTGAGGTTAGGGGAGAAATTTACCCGCAGCACCAGCCTCATGGAGATGAGGCTGTCCAGGCCCGAGTGGTCCAGCTGAAAGTGCTGTTCGAGGGTGAGGTCTGCACAGGAGAGAATCTGGCACAGGGGGAACTCCAGCACTCCCAGAGCATACTCCTGGTCGTCATCAAGCACCTGTGCAGTGGGCAACTCAGAACAAGAGGGGAACCAAGCCCCACTCTCACCACCCCCACAGGCTGGGCCCCAACTTAGAAAGTATGTACTTTGCTGCTATTAGCATCTGGTCCTGTTGTGGGAATTGGGAATGGACCAGGCCTGGTCCCTGCCTTCAGTCAGGAGAGTGACTCAGGGAAGAGGCAGTTATGATCTGTGTGAGGTCAATACGTCAAACGTCCAGGGCCATGGGGGCTTTAGGGTCAGATGAGCTGTGCTGTTCCATGACGAGACATCCGGACAGGGCTTTTGGCCCTGAAATAAAGACAATGAAGTGGATCCCAAAAGATCCCAGCTCCACCACTTTTTAGTCATGAGATCTTGGACAAGTCATTGTTTGAGACTGTTTGCTCATGTGTAAAATAGAGAAGATAATATCTATTTTCCACAGATATTCTGTGAGGATCAAATAAAAATTCTTTTTAATGAAGTACGTCGTCATCGTCAAGGTCCATATTCCAACACAGGCCACTCTGGGGCTGTGTTACAACCAGAAAGGCCCTTTTGCAGGGATTGCCAAGAGACACAAGGGTTTGTCCTTCCACGGCTTCCTCCCCAATGACCTCATACAGCAGCCTCACGGAGATGAGGCCTTGGAGGGGCCTCATTATTCCCTCCTGCATCCAAGCAGCTGGTCTTAACTATCACACCAAGAACCTGCTCAAGGTGTGCTTCAGGCTCCTGTCCCTTCTAAAACTCTATTCCAAGAGCCCAACTTCAAGCAAACCTTCAGATGTAGCTGCTCAGCTGCCACATTGTGCACAAAGAAGGAAAACACTTGGCCCCACACAGGGTCCTTGCTGTGGTGACATGTCTGGGGACAGAGAAGGAAGAGATCATTGAAGGGTCAGGTTGGGCAGAGTTGGATACCAACGCCTCTGCTCTCACTCTGGCCACCAGGCACCATTGGGAGCCGCCTTCTGTGTCTGCCCAGGGACCAGACCCACACATGCTACAGCCAGTGGGAGGCGCTAGGGAGGGGCAGCCAGACTCAAGGCAAGGGGTGCTTTGCCAGGAAGCTCTACAGGGACTGAAAATCACATTAGCCTTAGAGTTCACTCCCAGGGGAAGGGGCAACAGATTTCTGCTGCTGAACTGAGAAACTTCATGGTGTGGTGGGAAGGACATGGGCTTTAGAGCCAAGCCTGGGCTGAAGCCCTAGTTCTGCTGCTTTCTAGCATGTGACCTTGGGCAATCATTTAATCTCTGATCCTCAGATTCTTGGACTAAAAAATGATTTTGTGAAGTTATTTTGAGAAATAAATAATACCAAGTGCCTAAAGTGTGTCCTGGCACCTTCTACAGGCATTCAGTGCAAGCTAATTCCCTTCCCTTTTGGCGCTCTCAGCCATTATTTTTGCCCATTCTCTCTTCCCCTCAGTTATCAGTCATCAAGACCAATCCTAGAGACTTCCATTTCCTTCCATCTCCTTACCCCAAGGCTGCATTCCACAGTTGTCTTACCTTGCTCACGTGTGTCTTCTTGCCTATGGATAGCTTGACATAGGAAGAAGGGTCTCTGCTGACCTTATTCTGTGAAAGGAAAAATCCACAACAGTGGTGGCACCTTCAGTGTCACCTTGAGACACCCTCATCACCTGGGAGCATCAGTGGGACCTAGGGCCAGCCGGTTGCTTCCCATTGAGAGAAGGCAGCCCTGGTGCTCCCCAGGCCCCCTGGGCTGCCATTACTGCACAGGACTGCCCCAGGAGGAGGTTTCAAGTTAAAGACCAGAGGCCAGAGTGGGGCCTGGCTGGGCAAAAGTTCCTGTTCTGTGGGGCCCAGAGCATGGGCTATGGAATCAGATGGGGTGGAGTCCAATTCTGGCTCCTCCTGTTAGCTGTGTGACTTAGGCAGTTAACCTTCTGAATCCTGCTTGTAAAATGGCAATAAAAACTATTGACACAGTCATCAAATGGCTCAGAGATAATGAATGTGAAGGATGCGTTGCCAGCCCCTGTGCCTGGCACACACAGATGACTGAACGGCAGCTTTGGTATCCTCAGGCTATGTGTGCATGGACCATGGCCCGGAAGACATGGGGCTGTGGTGACTCTGGGGAGGAGAAGCTATGACCTGCTGTAACTCGAGTTTCCAGCCACATAGACACTTACCTTGGCAAACCTGGAGAGTTTTTTGGCTCGATATTCACCATTCAGGTAGTCAAAAGGGCTTCTCTGTAGCACAAGAATAATAAGGTAAATGAGCAGCACGTGGACATTTGAAAGTGAAGGTATGAGGTGCTTCCAGAGGGGACACTAAGGCCATGTCACCACTCACCGGCAGATTGCAGGCGCTCTCCAGGAAGACCACAAGGATGGCAGTGGAGAGGCCAACAGGGTCCTGCAAGCAGTAGCAGACAGACTGGTTTTGAAGAAACCGCCTGTGGCAGAAAGAAGCCAGCCAGCCCTTGCACTCCATACTAATTATAAGATCGCTCACAATCTAGCTTTCTATTGAGGCTGAAAATACAACTGCAGCATGGCAGATTCAAGTTAGAGACAGAGATGGATTTCCCATATGAACTAGGCTGACGGGCAGTGACACAGAGCTCTAAGGACCCCATCTTTCCCAGAAATGGCTGAGATTCTGTCTGCTGAGATGGGTCAGCAGCTGCTCTGTGTGTTAATGGGCTGGGTGACATGTTCTCCAGGAGGCAGGGCTGGCTCCACTCCTTCCCTCCCAATCATGTACATGGGCCACCCCACTGCATGTTCCCCCACCCCACACGTTTCTGCTCAAGGGTCCCCAACACACTGGACTCACCTCAGCCAGAACTTCCCGGTCAGTGGTCAGTGCAAGCCACTCCAGCCGCAGGTGCAGTCGCCCACTGGTTGTGTCATTTAGGACAAACCACTGTAGGGAGGGGAGGGGACGGGGCAGGGAGATGCTACTGACCCTGTTCCCGAGCTGCCACTCAGTCCTGTGCCCAGTGAGGGCCTAATAGAGACTAGAAAGGTGACCCAGCCCATAGTAGGTGGGCTCTGGGCTCTGAGAGACTGGCAGATGTGGTTTTATAAGGACTAAAGTGATCTACTTTGGGACGGAAAAACCCTCCTGCCAGGTCCAGCCTGCCCTCCCTTGTAATGCAACTGTCCCCTGCTGACGGTCCTTGGCCTGTGCGCATTTCCAGGGAAGATCCTTCCAACTGGGGCCCTAGGGGCTCTCAGGACCCATCTGTGCCTCATCCAGCTCTTTCCCTGAACATGCATGCAGCCCAGCAGAGGTAGGGCCCTGTTCACAGGACTAGCTGTCCATGGGGAGGGGCGCGGCACTGAAACCCTGGGTCCCAGGCACCAACTCTACCTCATCCACAACTCTGTGGGTCATGACATCACCGAGGCAGATCTGTAGGCTGGAAGACAGAGGGAGGGATGCTTAGCTCAGAGATGGCAAGTTGCAGAGGGCAGAGAGACCCACGCTGAAATCTAGTATCAACTATCTGAGTGGGGCCGTAAAGACAGAGGATCCTATTCAGCAAGGCCCCAAGGAACCATTGGGAGACCAACTTAAACTTGAGCAAAGGAAGGACTCCAACCATTAAGACTGGGGAGGCAGGTAGCCTGATCCCCAGAGGGGACAAGTGGAGACTGCTGGTCATATTGACTGGATTTCTCAATGAACGGGGCTACTGGCATTTTGGGTGGGATAATTCTTCCTTGTACAGGACTGCCGGTGCATCACAGGAATTTAGCTTCCCAGTCCTGTGCCCTCTCAAAGCCAGTGGCACCACCACCCCCAGTCATTGTGACAACCTCAAATGTTCCTCTATTTCCAGAACTGCCCCGGGTACCCTCCCAAAGATAAGTGTAGTTGGCACCTGTGTGTGAGGAGGTAACACCCACCTCCAGTGTGCGCCACCCCCCCCACACCTGATCCAAGCCAGAGGGCGAATGTAATTCTATTGAACTGTTAGAATATGTGCTTCAGCTCAAAACACAGCTGAAATCAGCTAAATAAAACATGAACCAAAAGCCACATTTCTATTCTGCAACATTATAAAAAGTGCAAGTTTTTCATTAAGATAAAAAACAAAAATATCTAGTGGTGAGCTGTTTCTTCACCTGTCAAATTGTGCGCCTCCCATTTTGTTTTGTGTCTACTTTTTTCTTTTTAATTACATGTTCATGGAAACAAGTCAACCAGCACAGAGGAGTATAAAGACTTGGTTATCACACTCTCTCTGTCTCTCTCTCGCCACCTCACCCAAGCCCTCCAAGACGAGCAGTGTGAACAGCCTGGTGCTGAACATGGGCAAACATACATCTGCGAGGACTCCTCCCCTTGACAATGGAGTCCAACTGCACAGGTTACTCCACACCTGCTTTCCCCCCTTGTACTAATACATCATGGACATCCTCAGGTCAATACACATAGATGCTACTCATCAGTTTTAATAGCTACAGAATATTCTGTAGTTTGGCAATGGCAGATTTATTTAAACATTCAGCCAGTGTCCTCTAAGGCTGAACATTCATGTCTCCAGAGTTTTGTTTTGTTACCACAGATACTTCTGCAATAAACATTTCAGGTACTAGTGCTTTTCTTTTATAGGAGATCCTGGAATTGAGACTGCTGGACCTAAAAACGTGTAAATTTGAAATTTTGATAGCGGTGCCTACCCCCACCAATCCAGTTGTCCACGGTCCTGAGGTTCTGTGTTCCACCCCAGAGTGAGCTGGCCAGGATTCCTTGGGACTGGGAACCTAGCCATCTATGCCAGCCTTGACCCCTACCCACAGCTCCAGATGGGAACTTTGGCTACACTATCAGAAGGGTAGAAAGCAGAGCCCAGGACTCAGGACTGGGCACTTGGGAGGTATCTAGGAAGGAGCTTTGTGGTGGGAATGTGGAAAGATGGGCTAGTTGCCTGACACGTTCATCATATCAAGAGTGACCAGATTCTGATCAGGGCCACAATAAATGGATTCTGATAGAGTGGGAGAAAAATGTGGAACAGAACTCAAATTCTTAAAAAGTCCAGATTTACCGGACCAGTTGAGACTAGAGAACTCCCCAAGACTATCGTCCTGAGATACCCTTTAAACCTTGAACCAAAACTATTCCCTGAGGTCACCTTTTAGCTAAATAACAGATTGTATCATAAAATAAAGAATATTACCCATCAGCACTGCAGTCCTTTAAAACATCATCTATATGAGACCAAATGGTCAGCAATTACTCTAAAGCAAAGATGAGAAGATAATGGGGCAGGGAAACTAGATCACTGGAAACGGAACAACTTGAATGGAAATAATGAGAATGTTGACACTTTGTGGAAAATGTAACCAATGTCACTGAACATCTTGTGTGGAAATTGTTAAATGGAAATATAATTTGCTGTGTAAACTTTCACTGAAAACACAATAAAATATTATTTTTTTAAAAAAAAGAGTGACCAGAGAGGGTTGTAGGTCACTGAGCCTTAAGGCCCGGCCCAGCACCCCCAGGGAAGAAAGTCTGCCCCATGCCCAGCTTGGCCCTTGTCCTCACCTGCCCAGGAAGTCGTCCCTGTCAGGATCCTCATCATATAGATCCACCTCCAGGTCCTGCCCAGGCACTTCATACACTATGAGCTGGAGGGAAAGAGAGTGTCTTGACCTGCAGGTGACACCTCTAGTGAAGCAGATTTCATGCATGACCCAAAGGGAAACAAATCCTGGCCCCACCACCTGCCAGCTGGGAGCCCCTGGGCCTTAGTGCCTCACGAACCCCACCTATAAGAGGGGAGTGGTGCTCTTCCCCTGTGGGGCAATGAGGAGGATTAGAGACAACAAGTCAAGCCCATGGGTGACTGGGGGACAGTAGCTGCTGTGTTCTACATGGGGTTTGTAGCTTCAGAGCACTTTCCCATCTGATCCTCCTGGGCCAATGGATCTGGGACGCCAGGAAGCTGCCTTTTATCACCCCTGCTTTCACTGCCACACCCCAAGTGTAGCAGAGCTTCCAGACTGTGTGCTGTGAGGGGAGAGCGGGGCAGCCACCGGGGAGGTGTCCCCTGGAACGTGTAATCTGTGGGGCCCTCATAGCCTTAACAGACTCTAGGTCCCACCCTTCAAGTACTAGGGATTGTGGTTGGCCTCAGGAAGAGTTTAGGCTCCTGGTGTGTGGCTTTGGCAGGAGAGGCTCAGAGAACTGGAACAGAACTGTGCCTCTGAGGTTTTCTCCTTTGATTTAAAACTTTACTTCCAATGAACCTGACTCTGGTGGGGAAGGGAGGTAGGAATCACCTACAGGCTGGTCCTCCAGCAGGGCCAAAGCAGCTCCACCTCGCAAAGCCTGGTGGATGTGGGAAGAAGGAGCCATACAGACCTGCCTGCCCTTCTCAAGTTCTCTGGCATCCAAGGCCTCCTCCTCTGGACCAGCGTTGCCCCAGTGGATCCGTTAAAGCCCTGAGGGCCAGGCGTTGCCTTGTCTGTACCTAGCACAACCCAGATCGGAGCTCGAAGGGCATCAAAGGTAGCCAAAGGAGACCCTCACCTCAAACAGCTCATTCCAAGTAGGGTTCAGGTTCCCGTAGATGGTCCTGCTCCGGAAGTGCTGCAGGCCGATGCTCACCTTGGCATAGGGGTCTGACTTGCCTCGGAATCCCAGGAAGCTGTCCTTCTGGGCTAGCTTCTCTGCCCCCAGCAAGTGGACTCTGATCACCCCCTGGAAAATGCCGCAGTCCAGGGCTCACAGCTGTTCCCTGGGCCACACCAGCCCTCAAGGCCCAGAACATCAGAGAGCGCCAAAGCTATTAGAGGTCACCCCTGCCCCCTTCTCACCCTCTTAAGGTCTAGACGGGGAGACGGAAGCCAGAGATGGTAGTGACCAGGCCAAGGCCATGCAGCAGGTGACAGCAGGGCCCAGGGCTCTCTCCACTACTAGATGCTCCACCCATATCCCTGGTCTTCCCACCCCTCCCTGACTCGAACCTCCCACATGAGTGGTTTATTCAACTGCAGCCATTTCCTCCTCCTGTGCCAACAACACTGCAACCGAGGAAGTTTCTTCCTTTACTCCAGGCCCCCTCTGTAATCTGCATGCTGGCCAGGCCTAGTGTCCCTCTTTCCTGATACTTAAGTGTACACAGGCCTGCAGGCACTGCTTGCTTTTGGCAGTGGATCCATGTGCTCATAAAGCCCCCAGCATCATGCCTTACTCCTCCACACCTGGGCTATGCATTAGGGCAGACCCCCTTCCCCACACTCACAAGGATGGTTGCTAAAAAAAGAAAAGAAAAGAAAAATCTAACTATTAAAGAACAGAGCACAGGAGTTAGGGGGAAAAAAAAAAACATACTTCATGGAACCTAAGGTAGGCCTCCTATCTAGAACTTTTTTTTTTTTTAAATACCAGTAAATACATATACTTTTATCCTTTGACCCAGCAATCCTACTTCTAGGAATCTATTCCAATGATATACTGGCAAAAATATATAAAGACACGTGCACAAGTCTATTTATTACAACACTGTAACAGCAAAAGACCAGACACAACTGTCCATCAGTAGGGAACTAGTTAATGACATAATCACCCTTTTACAGCCCCTAATGAATTAATAATAAGGAGCTGTCATGGATTGAACTGTGTCCCCCAAAAATATGTGTATCAGTTTGGCTAGGCCATGATTCCCAGTCTTATGTGATTGTTCATCATTATGTCATCAGATGTGATTTTCCTATGTGTTGTAAATCCTACATCTATGATATTAATGAGGGGGGACAGGCAGCAGCTATGTTAATGAGGCAGGACTCAATCTACAAGATTGGATTGTGTCTTGAGCCAATCTCTTTTGAGATATAAAAGAGAGAAGCGAGCAGAGAGACGGGGACCTCATACCAGCGAGAAAGCAACACCGGGAGCAAAGTGTGTCCTTTGGACCTGGGGTTCTTTTGCAGAGGAGCTCCTAGTCCAGGGGAAGATTGATGATAAGGACCTTCCTCCAGAGCCAACAGAGAAAGCCTTCCCCTGGAGCTGATGCCCTGAATTTGGACTTCTAGCCTACCAGACTGTGAGAGAATAAAGCCATCCACCTGTGGTATTTCTGTTACACCAGCACTAGGTGACTAAGATAGAAGCCCTGGTGGCACAGTGGTTAAGTGCTTGGCTACTAACGAAAAGGTCAGCACTCGGAACTCACCAGCCACTCCACAGGAGAAAGATGTGGCAGTCTGCTCCTGTAAAGATTACAGTCTTGGAAATCCTGTGGGGCAGTTCTACTCTGTCCTATAGGATCTCTATGAGTTGCAATCAGCACACAACAACAATGAATTAATGGATTGAGGAAATGATCAATGACTGATAACATCACAAAAAGAGACATTCCAACATTATATGCCTCCATACACAAACCACCTATGAAGTAATCTTGCCAAAAAATTAAGCTTGAATTTTTCTAGATTCAACTCCCTGCTACAGGAGACAGAAGAACACATTAAACTACACCACAGAGATGCAATCAACCAAACACAGCTGGTCGGAAACTCTATAGTACATAACCTGGTTTCTTGAACAAGTAAACTACAAGGAATAAAATAGAGAGAGAGATGGAGGGGGATCCTATAGATTAAAAGATTTAAATATCAATCAAACACAATGTGTAAACCTTATTTAGATCTCAATTCAAACAAACTAAAAAAAAAAAATATGACATTTACGAGATAACTGAATTTTTAACATTGCCTGGTATTTGATGATACTAAGAAATTATGTATAATTGATTAAGTATGATAATGGTGTAATGCCTATGTTTAAAAACAAAAACAAAAACAAAAAAATCTGTTGCCGTTGAGTCAATTCCAACTCATGGTGACCCTACAGGACAGAGTAGAATTGCCCCATAGAGTTTCCAAGTAGCGCCTAGTGGATTCCAACTGCTGACCTCTTGGTTAGCAGCCATAGCTCTTAACCACTACACCACCAGGGTTTCCCTAAAAAGAAAAGACTCCTTATATTTTAGAGATATATACCTAAAAATATAATAAAAGAAAGAAAAAAGTAAAAACTGTGAGGAAATCAACCTTGTCCAAACGGTTTGGGTATGGCAAAAAAATGCCGAGACTAGGTTATGTCTTTGGGAGTGGAGAGAACCCCTCACTTGTGGAGATGTCTGGAAGAAGGAGAAATGACATGGGGCAAGGTGAGTGTGGGACATGTCTCTGTGTTCTGGGTGTTGTACTGTTAAGTGAGGGCTGAATTACCTCATGAGCCGACTTTGCTTGTCAGCCTCATTGAGATGCTGGGAGGCCTGTTGTTGGGGCAAGTGGGTATTACCAAATCTCACAAGACATGCTTCTATATGTCTATGCAAATATAAGGCCCCTCCTGGGTCAGGGGCCCAATATGATGAAGTGCCAGTAAGGGGAGCTGAGGGCATGGGGCGAGCAGACAACTGGGACCAGGAAGCACCGGTGCACCCGCCCTCATGATCACAGGCCTTTCTCTGGAGTCAGGGGACACGAACAAGATGATCAAAGAGAAGCTTTGGTGGCACTTACAGAGTCTTCTTTGAGGGAGTCAGGATGGGAGGGAAGGAATGAGAGCTGGAGGGGATTGGTGAGGTTCTAGCAAGAGCCCCAGTGTGAAAGCTGGGATGCTGGGGGATGAGTGGCTGGGAGCCACTCCCAGAGGAGGAGGCAGTGTGAGTGTTCCTGAGGAGACAGGGAACAGGAAGAAGCCTGAGAGGAGGTTAAGTGTCTATCTCCCAACCAGCCTGTGCCCTCCCAGGTCAAAGTGCCATGTGTGCACAGGCCTGAGTAGGAGCAGCCATCAGGGAGAGTGTAAAAAGAAACCAATACCTCACATATGACACGGGTGGTAAATGGGCACTTCTCCTCTCCTGCGGCCCTGACTCCCAGCCCTGATGGGCTCAGGCCTATAGCCAAGGCATCTTTCTGTGGGGAGGCCACATGGCTGCCCGAGGGGCCTCCTGAGCTGGGCCCAGGACCAGGACTATGGGACTTAGCACCCAAGAAAGCCCCATGTCCTGATTCAAAAAGGGATTCTCTTCAGTAAACCCCAAAGATTCTTCCTGCCACCAAATTGATGGAGTCCTAGAGCCTCACGTCCCTGAAAGGAGGATGGGAGGCTACTAGATTTTCACAGGGGCGACTGCCCACAGTTCCCAATACAGGCCACATGGGGGGACCAGGAGCTGCTGGTAAGGAATCAACCCTGGGCCCTGTCCCATCCCAGCTGGGTGACCTTGGGCAAGTCATTCAACCTCCTTAGCCTCAGTCTCCGCCCCATAAAATGGGGATGCTGCACCTTCAGGGTGGTAATAAGGATTACCATCTGATAACATATCTGTCCCAACACTGGGCCCAGGGCTCTGTGGCCAGGGCCAGGTACTCACGCAGGGCAGAGGGAAGCACAGATTGGTCACGTCCAACCCCTTCTTCACGGGCACAGTCACACGGTTGGGCAGCACCAGGTGGGCAGCGATGAGGTCCTCCAGTAGGCTGTCTGACACCTCGCTGGGGATACCAGACATCACCAGCTGTGGGGGGGGGGGGCGGTGCCTTACCTCCCCCATAATGCCTACACCTCCACCCATCCCCAGAGCTGGAACTAGAAACAGAGCTTGGGAGGGCGGGCCTGCCCAGGAGAAAGCAGCCCTGACCCTGGCCTGCCTGGGATGGATGTGTGCCTGTGTATGGTGTATGTGTGTGGGGTGATACATTTTGACAGCCCCTGACTGACCAGTCTATTGATAATGCAGCCTCCCCACCATAACCCCCTCTTCTTGCTGCCCCAGTCCTGCCTTGTTCTTCTTCCAGGCAGCACAGCATGGTGGTGTTGTTATTGTTGCCAGGTGCCGTCAAGTTGGTTCTGACTCATAGTGGCCCTGTGTACAACAGAACAGAATACTGCCTGGTCCTGCCCCATCCTCACATTTGTTGTTATGCTTGAGCCCATTGTTGCTGCCACTGTGTCAATCCATCTTGTTGAGAGTCTTCCTCTTTTTCACTGACCCTCTACTTTACCAAGCATGATGTCCTTCTCTAGGGACTGGTCCCTGCTGATAACATGTCCAAAGTATGTGAGACAAGTCTCGCCATCCTCACTTCTAAGGAACATTCTGTTTGTACTTTTTCCAAGACAGATTTGTTCGTTCTTCTGGTAGTCTATAGTATATTCAATATTCTTCACCAACACCATAATTCAAAGGCATCAATTCTTCCTCAATCTTCTTTACTCATTGTACAGCTTTCATATGCATGTGAAGACATTGAAAACACCATGGCTTGGATCAGGCACACCTTAGTCCTTAAAGTGACATCTTTGCTTTTTCACACTTTAAAGAGTCTTTTGCAGCAGATTTGCCCAGTGCGATGTGTCTTTTGATTTCTTGACTGCTGCTTCCATTGGCATTGGTTGTGGATCCAAGTAAAACGAAATCCTTGACAACTTCAGTCTTTTCTCTGTTTATCATGATGTTGCTTATTGGTCCAGTTGTGAGGATTTTTGTTTTCTTTATGTTGAGGTGTAATCCATACTGAAGGCTGTGGTCTTTGATCTTCATCAGTAAGTGCTTCAAGTCCTCTTCACTTTCAGCAAGCAAGGTTGTGTTATTTGCATAACACAGGTTGTTAATGAGTCTTCCTCCAATCAGTCGATGTTCTACTGCTATTCATAAGGTTTTCACTGGCCAATATTTTCAGAAGTAGACTGCCAAGCCCTTCTTCCTAGTCTATCTTGGTCTGGAAGCTCAGCTGAAATCTGTCCACCAAGGGTGACCCTGCTGGTATTTGAAATACCGATGGCAAACCTTCCAGTATCACAGCAAAATGCAAGCCACTACGGTATAACAAACTGACAGACACGTGGTGGCACAGCATGATAGCTGAAGACAATAATCCAGAGCCCTGTGAGGCTCGTGGCTCTATCACTCACTAGCTGTGAGACCTTGGGCAAGTCACTGACCTCTCTGGACCTCAGTATCCTCATCTCTAAAAATGGGGATAATAATGCCCACCTCCTAGGGTTGTTATGGGGATATGTTAATATGTGTAAAGTGCTGAGAATGGTGCTAGTACACAGCAATTGCTATGTGAGTGCTAGCTAATGTAGCCCTCCCATCCCCTGATGTAACATTGTAATGCTCTTTATTTACGGCTGACTCTGTCTCTCCAGTATAGGGAGACAGTGCCTAGAACAGGATGGCACACAGTAGGTGCTCAATAAATTTTTTTTGAGTGAACAAATGCATGACTGGATTCTCTGCATCCAGAGGTGATGGCCCCAGCGAGGGAGGGAGTGAGAGGCCCACCCTGCAGGCTGCTGCCTGAGCCTAGATAGCAGCTGGTGCCAGCCCTGGCCAGTCCAGCTGCCCCCATTCCTGGGGAGGTGTTCACATGGGGCTGGAGACCCATGGAAGGAAGGTGGGGTCTCCCAGACCTGCTCCTTCTCACTGGCCTGTGGCAGCTGCCTCTCCTACACCTGTGCTTGTGGCCATGGTGGGGTGGGGGGGGACGGGACACATGGTTTCTCACCACACACTTGGATTGGGGAGGAGGGTGGAGTGAGGAAGACAGGAGGAAACTCATGTGTGTCCACACCGCTGTGCCACCACCACACACATGTGTTCTCAAAGGGACCCCAGGCAGAGGAACCAGGCTCCCCTCTACTGAGAAAGATCCCAGAGAGGTGAAGTAACTTGTCTGAGCTCACACAGTTGCTAAGTGACAGAGTCAGGGGTCTAGTCTGGCTGGGTCTGGCTCCAATACCTGTGCACACTTCTCCTTAGTCCTCACAGCTGCCCCCAGGTCCACATCTCATCTCCTCAGAGCCACTTCCGCTGCACCAGGTCAGGGACCTGTATGTCCCTCAGTCCAACATTCAGCAAAGTGCTTCTCACTCATAATGTGTGTATGTGTGTGTGTGTGCATGTGTGTGCCTGTGCGCATGCCCGCACTGGGTACAGTGCCTGCCCACAGAGGGCCACTCAACATTGTTAGCCTCTCACACCACCCCCCGCCACACACACACTTTTCCCTCCAGAGAGGGAGGGCTTGCTGCTGCCCTCACTCCTCATGCAGCAAGAGTGGGGTGGGAGGACAGGACCACTGTGAAGCTGCGCAGCCCCAAGGACCCCACATCCACGAGGGATCTCCCTGGTGGCACTTCCAGGCACTTACTTGATTCCTGGTGCATCCAGCAGGTTGGTCAGGCCTGTCCAGTTGATCTGCAGGTGCTGCAGCGGCAGAGCGAGGCTGTTAGGCTGGAAGGCACTGGGAGCTCGGGGCTGAGAACCCTCTGCCAAGCACCTCAACCCCACCTGAATGGAGAGCCCAGCCTGCTGTGGGGTGGGGGGCAGCCTCAGTGGGGCTATGAGAACAGGTGAGGGCACCTCCTCATTCTCTCAGGCCTCAGGCAGGCTGTAGAGCCTGCTGCTTCCTGCCAGGACCACCATATGGCCACAAGATAGCCTGGTCTTGGAGAGATCTGAGTGTCGTCTCTGCTCCACTTCAGACCACCTGGGTGACCTTGGCGAGCCACTTCTCTGAGCTCAGTTTCCCCATCTTGGGGAGAGCAGAGTCTAGCTCCTCAAGCTGCCTTAAGGATTAAATGAGATAATCCTTACGCATCCAGGACTAGGTGGGGCTTAGGCAATGTCCATTCTTTGCTTAAACCCAGTGTCTGCACCAGTAGAAAGTGCTCCGTCACCAGACGGGCCTGCCTCCAGCCTCTGGACTCACCGGCTTCTGTAGGAAGAACACAGTCACAGCTCCCACGAAGGGCTTGTCCACCAGGAGGGGCTCAAGGATGACCCGCAGTGTGCCCTGCAGCTGAATGGGCACACAGGGCCATGAGGGACCCCAACTCCTTTCTTCCTGTACCTGCTGGGCCCAGCCTGCTGCTGCCTCTTCTCATGCTTGTTCCCCTCCAAAGGTCAGGACCATCCACCTAGGCTGCCTGCTGCCACAGCAGACAACATATGTGGGGTACAGAGGCTTGGACACAGCTGCCACCCCTTTGCCGGCTACCAAGGGGCCCTGAGCTGCCTCCCTGCCTCCCTCAAGTGCACCAGGCCTGATTTGGCCTACGGCCTTGTCCGCAGTGTCAGGCGGCCCAGCCAGCAGGGACCTGAGTGATTTCTGGCTCCAACTCAGCTACTTTACTCCTGGCATGAGACAGTTCCACTTCCTCAGTCTACCTCAGTTTCTAAATAATGGCTCTGCACTGCTGCATAAACAGAACCTCTCACTTCCACTGGCAGCCAAACCCTCTCCTGGAGGGACTTTGCTAACAGAGGCAGGCTGTGGGGCCATGGAGGCAGAGCACAAGGTCCAGAAGTCCAGCAATACCACTTCCTGGCTGTGCGACCTCAGCCTGGATTCCTCCATCACCACTAGCCTCTGGGTTTGGTGCCATCTCCCTGCTTTGCAGCCGCTCCAGCATGAGCCCACTTCTCCCTCCCCTGCCTGCACCCCAGGGGCAGGCACACTGGACTCCACCCACCTGGATCCCTTTCACACCAGCCTGTATCTTCTGTAGCTCCACACTGATCTCACAGTCCCCGATGTAGCTGAAAGTAGGGAGGGAGGAAGAAGATGAGGAGAAGGGGCAGGTCCAACTGCTCAGAGAGGTTGAGAAACTTGCCCAGAATCACACAGCCCAGGCCCAGGCAGCAGGCCACCAAGTCTGAGCTCTCCATCACTTTGCCTGTGATCTCAGCCTTTGCACAGACCCCGGTTGAACCAGACCCCAGGAGGCAGTCCCCAAGCCCTACACCCAGAAGCCATCCAATGCACATCCCCACCTCTGACCATGAGGCAGTGGCTCTGGGCACCACCTCACCCTGGGGGGCAAGGGGTTGGCCCACAGATGAGAAGGAGGGACTCTTAGTGAGCACACTACCCCTGCCCCCACCACTGCTGCACCGCTGCCCAACTCTGCCCAGGCATCCTCCAAGAGAACATAGAAGAACTCCAGCTGCTTAAGCCACCAGGCTGTTGCAGGGGTGGTGGGGGTGGCCGAAGGTAACAAGATCTCAGGCTGCAAGGATGGGAGCCTGAGGCCAGCTGGGGGCTCTTGCCGGGTGATGGGCATAGGGAGCCCAGAATGGGTGCCCCTGAGTATGTGAAAGTCCCTCACAGTGACCCACCCCTGGGGCTAAGAGATTGTGTCAAAGGCCTAAGGAGAGGACTAAGCAGACAAAGAGGCCAGCCATCAAATATCCACAGGACACAGGCAGAGCAGCAGGATGCCACAAGCCATACAACTGCCAAGTGCCCCTGAAAGGACAGGCACAGCGGGCAGGGGAGAGCCCACAGGGGCCGCCTGAGCTGACTGGGAGGCTAGGGGGACCAGATGCCCTCAACATGTCCTAAGTCTTCATACATGGATCTCGTGGCCTGGCCTCAGGGGGAGTAGCACCACTATAGCCCTCTCACCACTCCAACACACTTGAGACCAGCCCCTCGGTGGGAATGAGTGTGCCTGGAGCTGTCTTCCTAGCAAGCCCTGAGTGCCAGCCTCTGGGCCAAGGACAGGGAATGTGAGGCACCGGAAAGGAATGCCAACATTCTGGAACCTCAGGAGGTAACCCTTTGTCCTTTAAAGCACAAGTCAAATCTCACTTCCTCTGGGAAGACATCAAGCCTATTACTAACCTCATTCAAAAGAGGTGCCCTTACTCAATCCGCTCAGCAGTCCCTCTTGTGTCTTTGTAGCCTCTAGTTCTCCCAAGGTGCCCAGACCCAGTCCTCCCACTGGCCCCTCTCAGCCAGTGCCCTGGGCCTAGCCGCACCTGCTCCCTCTAGCCACGTGCTGTCTCAAGGCAGCTGGTCTGACCCTCCAGGTGATGTGGCCCCAGGCCCCAAGAAAGCTCTGCTGTCTGGGCCTTGGGACCCATAGGGTGCCCTGGTGCCTGGTCTGATGGCAGAAGCCAGGCCTGGCCTAGAGGTCAGACAGCGGTGGCTCTCCTGGGACCAGTCCTTCCTCCATCCATTCTCCTGACACTCCTCCCCGCTCAAGCAGGGACATTGTACCCCAGCCCCAGCAGCAGGGTGTAGTCACTGTGAGGGGCGTTCACATCCCAGAGTATATACGTACTACTCCATCTTCAAACAAGCTGTTCCCACAGAGCCCCCTGCAGCCCCCCGAACCCACACTGGCCCCCACAGTAAGAAAGCTCACCATATCTGCAGGTCCAGGACCACCTGTCTTCGGTTACACTTGTTAGTGTGGGCCTTGACACCATTAACCCGGGGGCACTGGAAGAGATACCAGAGGGCGAGGTCAGCAGGGCTTTTGCAGCAGAGGATTCTGGCAGCACCCCACCCAGCAATGGGCTTCATCAACAACAGCAGCCATGGCCACTGCCCTCCCAGGATGAGGTACAAACACAGAAACCCACCCTGCAGCCTCTGGTCATCTTTGACACCTCTGAGGCTTCTCTCCCTAGAATGTGCACCCTCCTTCTCCTCCATTTCTGCCTCCATATTTATGGAGCACCTACTCTGCCAGGCACTGGACTTGGGAGTCAGCAGGGAACAAGGAGGGCTTGCGCTTGCCTTGTGCACCCACAGCCTGGCAGAGGCGAGGACAATCGGGGAGAGTGGCTGCAGTGAGGTGCCGCCTGTGCAGTTACATGGGGGAACTGGGGGCTCTGAGAGTATCTCCAACCCAGCCTCAGGGGTCAGTGAGGCTTCCTGGAAGAAGGAGCATTTAAGCTGAGAGCCAGTGAGTGAGTAAGAATTGGCCCCATAATGGCAGAGGGACAGGGCAGGGTCCTTGGCAGAGGGAGCTGACCCTAGGAAGTAAAGTGCCCTCCAGGGTCAAGGGCTGAGCTCATAGGTAACTTTTCTTCTCTTATCAGCTTTCCCTCTCTGCATAAAGTCTTCTCTTTCCCTCCTGCCAGGTGGCATTGGAGTGAGGTCAGGTTGTCATTTATTAATAATAAAAAAAAAGATGTCACTTGAACTCAAGTTAATGATACACATGCCAAAGTAGTCAGGGGTGAAATCCACTGATGTCTACAAGTTACTCTGAAATGCATCCAAAAAAAAGATGGATAGAAAGATGGATGCATGGATATGTAATAAAGCAGATACAATGAAAGTTAACAACTGTACAGTCCCGATGGTGGGTATGTGGTGTCACCATATAGTTCTTTCCATTTTCTGCACGTTTGAAATTTTTCATAATAAAATGCTGGAGAAAAAATCCAATCAACCACGCTATAGGAAAGATTAAATTATATTTCTCTTCTCTCCAAATGCATTGTCACGTGAAGAGGTTACCAAAGAGTATGAGGTCAAAAATGTAGAGAAAAAGTATGATAGAGGCATGTGGAACAGTTAATGAAAAATATGTAGTTTTTCCAGAGTTTGTGGTATGTGTGATATGTTGGCTATTTAAAATGTGTAACATGTTGCAATTTATTTTCTCATTCTAAATAAATATTCACTTTCAGCCTAATTTTGTAATTGTAGTTTTATATTCTTTTTACTTAAGAGGGTCCCCAGAATTGTAGAAACTTCAGGCCCTGGCCCTGCCCTGGCCTCCAAGGCTTTGCTGTTAAAGGCCCAGAAAGGTCTGTGGAAGCCTGGGGAGGAGGCAGGGGTATATATCCTTCCAGCGCCCAGCACCTGCTCCTAGAGGGGAGGGGAGTTGGTTTGCCCAGCACCTGTGAAAGCTCAGCCAGCCCCAAGATCCCCGTCTGCAGAGACCCGGCCTGGGGAAGGCTACCTGCCTGGAGGCTTCTACCACAGACTTGGAGCACCTGTTCTGGGCCAGGCTGGGTGGCACTGGCCCAGGGCTCTTAGGTAAGTGAGAGGTGCTAATCTGTAATTTGGCCTCCATTGGGCCCAGTGCCCTATGCTGCCCACAACTCATACAGTCACACAGAGCAACCATGAGGCCAGGCCTGGTATTCACATCTCACAACAACCCTTAGAAGTGGATCCTTTCATTTTATGGATGAGGAAACTGGAGCTCAGAGAGGTCAAGTCATTGACCCAAGGTCACTACAGCACAAAGCAGGGTTGGGCACAGACACAGGGGTGTGGGCGAGAGCACTGAATCCTGGCCAAGCCCAGGAGGTCACATGAGGAGTTTTCTGTGACCCCACAGTGGAGAGGACTGGCACGGTGGGGGATGGGAGAGCTGAGGGGATGGGGATGAGGCCTGCACTTGAAAGGCTTTGAATACCAGGACCAAGAGTCACGTATTTCTCCTGCAGGGGTGGGGGCACCTGGCCAGCCCGCGGGCTCCTCGTGCAGGTTCTTCTGACTTCTCCCAATAGCATTCCTGCTGCTGCTGCCTACAACTAATCTGCCTGCAGCAGAGCCACATCCCACAAGCACCACTACCAGACCAGTGGCCTAGTGGAACAGGCTCTGCTCTAAACACAGCCGTCTGCAGGCTTCCTGTGATGCCCTCCTTCCCGGCTCTTAGCCTGGTGAATTCTTCAAAAGCCAACCCAGACACTACTCCCTCCAGGAAGTCTTCCCTGACTACCTCAGCCCCCACACTCCTCCACTTCTGAACTCATGCATTCCTCTATCACTGTGCATGCACTGCTACGTTGTCATCGGCATGCTTACGTGTCTGCCTCTAACAACAAAACAGCGACCTTCCTGAAGGCAGGGTGCTGCCACACTCATCTTCCTGTCTATGTGCCTAGCACACAGCACATGCTCAGGAAGTCATGAATAAATGAAACAAGGAATAAACAAAAGAAACAAAAGATGCTGTCACAGGCCAGGCCTGGGAGTCTGTGTGGTATAAACCAGGCATGCCCAGTACACCCCCCACTCAGGGAGGGTGCTAGCCAGGCAAAGGTGAGCACCCACCCTGGGGGCCAGCGAGCAGCTCTCAGCAGACTGGCCTGCACTCTGACACCTGCTTGTTCCAGAGCTGACCAGATGTCAACGCCTTTGATTTACTGGGTGATGGATGTCATAGCAGTTCTCTGTCTGGAGGTGCATTTTTGGATGATCAAAATAAGACACACACCAATTTACCAAGGGGCACTTTGGGGCAGAAGGAGCAAGGAACAAAGAGGGAAAAAGGAAGCTCAGTCTAGAATAGATAGCTTGACCTTAGGTATGTGAAACTCAAACTTCTTTGGCCAAGACCATTTTATCCTGGGACTCTGGTGAATCCTCACAGAACAAGGGCGGGCTTGAGCCAATTGGTTGGTAGAGAACTATCAACTGCTTTGTGGTACTACCTCCTTCCACGAAGGTGTGTTCTCCCCAGCTGATGCCTAAGGTGAGCAATTATGACTACATTTTTGTGTCTGTCTGGCTTCCACCATACAGCCATGTTTTCAAAATGTTGCTTAAGAAACGTCAAATGATTTCCCTCCTCTCCTTTCCTGTTCCCTCTGAGCCAGGCTTGGAACCTGGGGAGATGGTGGTGCTGGGACTGGGGAGTCTATACTGAAGCCCAGAGGCTAGGAAATGCAGGTGGGGGTGATGTCCCCTATCATAGTCTGTGGGAACTTTGTAGTCAGGTGAATGACCTGTGGTGAAGGTAGGGGGAGGTAAGAAGGTGGGAGAGGGGGCAGAAAAGAGACTACACAACAGGTGGTCAGGCTGACCTCCTGAGACAGCTCTGACCTTCTGTCCAAAGTAGAGCTTGGTGAAGGTGAAGGTCCTCAGGTGGATGCTCTTCTCCCGGATCTTGGGCTCGAGTTTCTCCCGGAATTTGTTTTCCATGATCATGCTTAGGTAGGGCCAGGTGTGGGAGATGATCTGGGACGACAGGAAGAGGCTCTTGGTGGTCAAGCCTGTGCCCCCACCCAGGCCCATGACTGCAAACAGCAGATCCTGATCCTGTGCAACCTAGCCCTGGAAGAGTGAGGACTCCACAGCCCCTATGCTGGCAGCAATCATTGGCCTGCTTGCCACCCATCTACCCACTTATTCATCCATCTGTCCATCTAACATCTGATAACCACTACAGTGGTTCCCACTCTTGCACAGGAAGCAGGACCCCAGACTTTGGTGCCGTTTTGCAGAACACCATGAAAGATTCATTCACTAAACTTCATATTATGAAACTCTTTAACTCTGTGGTAAAACATAAACTATCCCATTCTACATTCTGGTATCAACAAGAAGCAGGTGCCAGAAGTTTAAGGAAAATATCACAAATTTAAATTGCTGCCTGTGGATTTAATTCTTCTGTAGCAATTAGGAAAGGCTGCTTTTGGCTGATTTCTGTGGCAGAACACCTGATGGCACTGGTCTGGGAGCCAAGCATGGGGCCTGAGAAGAGGGAGGGTGGCAGAGATGTGGTGCCTGGTGGCAGGCAACAGTGGAGATCATGGAGGGGTGTGGAAGGAGGGCTAGTCGGCCGATATGTGCTGTTTGGGGCAAAGGCTTCTCCCCTTTCCTGTGGACTTGGGTCTCAGTTTAAAGATGCACCCACCTCCCACCCTCCCCCCATTCCAAATCCATAATTGGAGGAGCCTAAAGGAAACCCTGATGGCGTAGTGGTTAAGAGCTACAGGTGCTAACCAAAAGGTGGGTAGTTAGAATCCACCAGATGCTCCTTGGAAACTCAATGGGGCAGTTCTACTCTGACAGCAACGGGTTTGGGTTTGTTTGTTTTTTTTTAAAGGCTGTGAGACTTCAGGTCTTCACTGTCCCCATCTGGAAAATATATCATCTCCTTCAGGGCCTTCTCCAAACTCCAGTCCCTAAGATTCTACTTTCTAAGTCCTGGTCCCATCTTCTGTCTTGCTGGCCTGTCATTCACTATGTGCCTCCTGAGTGTGAAGCTGGTCCTAGGACCTCAGTGCCCTAGTATGTGGTTTGTCTCCACAGCTGTCTCACCATTTAGGCTCTGGGCTATGTGGGTATCTGTGTGTTAGTGAAAGAAAGATGTAACGCATGCATAAATCCATGAACTAGTTAGCACACATGTGGCAGACTCGCCTTTGTGGGCACGGCACAAGTTTTGCCCCAGAGGCCCTGGACCTAGCATTAATCCTCAGAAATCCTCTTAAAAGCAGCAGTCTGCTTCCTCCAAATTTTACCTTCAGGCAGGTAACAGAGTTTTTGATCCACTGACATTTCTGGTAACTTGAGAATACCAATCTTTGATCAACAACCATCGGGAAGTCCCTTCTTAAACCTAACCTAAGTCATTCCTGCTATGGCTAACCCTTTTTACCAAACAGAGGAAAGATTTGTATTAGAAAGAGCTGTGAGCCAGGAGACGCCGGTGGGGGCTGCAGAGGAGCCTTCCCATTTAGTGACGTGTTTGGGCAGATCAGGTAGAGTGAGGACTGTTCCCTTAGCTATCGAGTTCGGATTCCTTCCTCCTGGGGAGGGCCAGAGCGGGAGTCAATCAAGCAGCCCTGAAAGGGGCGGAAGGGCGGAAGGGCGGAAGGGCGGAAGGGCGGAAGGGCGGAAGGGCGGAAGGGCGGAAGGGCGGAAGGGCGGAAGGGCGGAAGGGCGGAAGGGCGTTCCCTGGTGATCTAACAACAATCACAACGATGACACAGCGAGTACCCGAGCGCTCACTATGTGCCCGACATCGTCGTGCAGTCATCATCTCATTAATCCTCACAACAACCCCACGAGGCAGGGACTATAGTTATTCCCATGTTATGGACGAGGAGACCAGCTCAGAGACGATAGGCAACCTGTCCGACGTCACGTAACAGCTGGCGGATTGAGCTTCCTCTCTGTAGGAAAGCACCGAGCTCGGCCTGGTTGGCCAGTGGCAGATTGCATTTATTCGCTATACTTCTCTGTATTTTCTAACTTTTCTGCCGTGACCATATATAAGTTTTTAAAACTTTTATTTATTTATTTATTTTTTTAAGAAAGCCATTATCTGGTGAAAGGAAGAACCTGAGGTGGGTAAGGAGGTCAGGGAGAAAGGCCGCCACCTCAGCGAGCGGAGGGGGTCATCTGTGCCCTTCAGCTCCTCTCAGGGCCTGGGAACTGCCTGGACCCTACGGTCACCCTCGCCCCATCAAGGCTGCCGCGGTGACTCAGCCACAGGGCCCGCGGGCGGGAAGCTCCGATGACCGCGCTCCAGGCCCGGGCCGTAGCCTTACCTTGTTCGCCCACTCGACCCGCTCCACGTCCGGGAAGTGGATCTAGAGAACGAAAGCCCCGAGGGCAACTTAGAGCTGCACATGCCCGGCCAATGAGTCCGAGCGGCCCTGCGGGCAAGGAGCGCACAGTCCCGTGGGGCAGGCGGCAGACAAACAGAGGGCGTCAGCCTGCGGGCACCGACACCGCGGTGGGTGCCAGATCCGGGGCTGGAAGCGTGCACGTGGGTGCTTCTCAGGACAAGAGAGGACTCCAGGCAGCCCCCTCTTCTTGCTCCCTCCTCCCGCCACTCGTTTGCATATGCAAATAAGCCCCTCCATCCCTGTGGAACTACAGAATCCCCCAACTCAGGGAGGGAGGGAGTTTGCACCTTGCAAACCTCGTCCCGCTTATTGTTTTCTTCCCCCCTTATTCGTTTTAATAACACAGCAATACAGTCTCTGTAGGAAATTTAGAAGATGCGGCCAAGGAAAAGGAAAAAAATATTTTATCAAAGAATGCTACCCAGTGATAACCAACAAGCTGGTGCATTTCCTTCCAGTCTTTTCCAGAAACAAATATGTGCAGTTTTCACAAAAATTGAGGTCCTACTAGTGTTTTTTGTAGAGACCTGGTGCTGCAAAGGTTTATGGGACAGAGGAGTAAGGAGCACCTGGCACAAAACATGGATCAGTAAATGGTAATGATGGTCATCACTGTCGCCATGCCCCAAGAGCCCTGAACACAAGGCCAGCTCGGGATCAGATTCACAGTGGGCCTGAGACCACCCAAGGTTGGGGAATGGCTCAGAAGGCTCACTATCCAGGGACTGCGTGTTTGTGCCAGGGTCAGACTATCCAATAAACAAGGTGAACATGGGTTTTGTTTGTGCTTACTTACTAATCTGAAGTGAACAATTTCACATGGATTTTCACCACACCACATTAAAATGAAACCCATGTGAAATTGTTCACTACAGATTAGTAAGTAAGCACAAGCAGGCCCATGCTTATCTTGCTTATTGGATAATCCACCCCGGCATATGTCCATGCTTATTGGATAACACCTACTGCACACCCACCAAGGGCCAGTGGTCCAGAGCCTGGCCCGGACCACTGGCCAGGAAGGAGAGCAGTTCCCAAAGGAGGTGTAGAGCAATTTAATTCTAAAGAGCACAGTTTTTAGAAGCCTTCAGAGATCAGAAAAGTCCAGTACTTCTGAGACTCCTGGAATATCATGCCATTCTCCCAGCCTCAGTTTTCCCAGCTCTGTCTCCTCTAGAATCTGGGGAGGAGGAGGAGGAGGCACACCTTATGTGTACCCCATATACACACCTTATGTGCACCCCATACACACACCTTATGTGCACCCCATACACAAACACCTTATGTGCACCCCATACACA